TTTACATCATTTCTTCTTCTTGTCAAGACACCAGTCATATTAGGTCAGTACCCCACCCTTAAAATCTAATTTAATTTTTATTGCCTCCTTATAGTCCCCATCTCCAAGGATTACGGCTTCCACATACAAATTGCAGGGGAGTGGGGGTTGGAGGGTGCACAATTTGGTCCATAACATTAGAACTTTATCATTAACAAATGTCTTTTGTGTCTACATATCTTAAATTTTCATCTAAAAGTTACAGTTTGGGCATAGTAGCTCTTTGCAAAAGCTACTCACTGCTTAGAATCCAGCCAGGCCTCTGGACTCCTGATCCAGCACTCTGGGCACTTATAAATGCCTGTGGGTGAGGGGAAGTGACTGGGGCACTAGCCAGTTTGCAAGAACGGGTGCATATTGCCTGCCATTTACCAAGATCCCAAGGAATGGGTCTTATGTCCTGGCATGGCAACCATCCTTTGGAGCTTAGCTGCATATGTCCTCTTTGCGAGAGTATTATGTTCTCCCTGTATTTTCTCTACCAGTGAGGTATGAAAATTAATAATGGGAAATCTCAATATCACTTGAGATCAATTACAGGAAGGATTGTCGATTACAGACCCCAACTTAAGAAATCCTCAACAGGAAAGAATCATCAATTACCGGCCCCAGGAGGAAAAGATGTACATTGCATCTCTTATAAGAAATTGACTACCCCAACAGCTCAGCCAATGAGAAGCAGTCATCATCCTGAACTCTAGCTTTCCTCCAATGGCTTTCATTCAAAACAACCACTGCCAACTTCCTCCTTTATCTCCATAAGATACCATTCCTCTCCTTTGTTTGTTGTACTTACCTATGTTTTTTGCTATAGTTTACTTGTTCTGAGTTACAATTCTCTCTGCTCTTCCTGCATAAACCCATTTTTGTTGGTAAATAATTGACTGTTTTATTTTTAAGGTCAAGAGAGGTCAACCACTAGTTGCCATTTATTTGTCTTGTATTAGAGTTAAGAAGAAAATAAAATGTTTCTTGTATCCATAATTATATTGAAACAAGACAGGCCCAACTCAAAATTACAGAACCCAGGGCAAGAGTCCAAATGGGTGCCCACAAAGCAAATGTTTAAATCATAAAAATTATAATTAAAACCAAGAAGCTATAGTCAACTAAAAAACAAAGTCTACTAGGTATTCTGTCACCAAAAAGGATTTATTCAGGGGAAAAAAAAAAAAGATAGAATCCAGTATGTGAAGACATGGTAAGTTACACGCACACACCAAACCAGACAAAGATGGAGGAAGTACAAAACAGAGAGGAAGAGAAAGATAAGGGAAGAAGCTATTATAAAAATAGAGCTCTGTTGTAAACAAAAAGTTCTTGTTGTACTCTCATGATGACATAGGGTGTGATAGCTCCTCCCACAGGCACTCTCCACTTCTGTTCAGGTTAAGCTCTGTCATAAATTTTATCACTGTAAAGAGAGTTTATTCTATTTTCTGGCCTTGACAAATGTACTTCCAAAGCATCTTGGAAGCTCAGAATTAAATGTGGAATTCTGGGACTTCTTGGAGTTCCAATGTGGCCCTGTGCGAAGAGACAGCCCACGTCCACCAACCTGTTCATTCTCCGAAGTACCGATCTGGGTACACATCCTATAAATGGGCTTAGGGCCATTGGAAATTCCCAGGTCCCAGGTAGCTGGAGCATGGTGGGCAGGAATACTGGCTACCAATGGTCATGACCCCTTGTTCCATGGAGAGGGCAGGAGGAGCCAGAAAATGACTGGCCTCTTGAAGCCCGGGTGCCTGAGGACATGTGCAGGCAGAACCAAAACCAGTTATAGGTCAAGAAAGCTGCACATTTGTTTAAAAAAAAAAAAAATGGATAAGGTATTCATGCATGCATGTCTGCGAAACTGGGGAACCTCTTGTGTTTAAAATGCAAAGTTGTCTGTCTCTTGTTGAGATAATATAATGCAATATTTTACTAAGTCTTGTTAAATATCTGACCTATATCTGCATCTGACATTTCTACCCCTCAGACTTTTCCCTCTGGTGGGACTAGTAGCAGGCATCTGGTAAAACCCTGCAGGTGAACTTTGCCTGAGTCCCGCTTCCTCCAAAATCTATCATCCCTCTTTAGATATTGGTTAGAACTGGCCAGCAGTCAAAAGATATTTTTGAGTCAATTAGGGAAAATTGAACTGGACTAGTTATCGTTAACTTTGTTAGGTATGAAACTGGCATTATAGGGATGTTTGAAAAATCGGACCCTACCAATTAAGTAAACATACTCAAATATTTAAAGATGAAATATGTCTGTTGAGATTCTTTAAAACGGGGATCCCCAACCCCTGGGCCACGGACAGGTGCTGGTCCATGGCCTGTTAGGAAATGGGCCGCACAGCAGGAGGCAAGTGGTGTGCAAGCAAGTGAACCTTCATCTGTATTTGCAGCCACTCCCCAGCGCTAGCATCACCACCTCAGCTCCACCTCAGATCATCAGACATTAGATTCTCATAGAAGCTCTGGTCCCTAGTGCCAAAAACATTGGGGACTGCTACTTTAAAACTACTCCAGGAAAAAAAAAATATGTGTGGGGAGGAACATAGAAGGATTAAAAAAAAAAAAAAAAAAAGCAAGATTCAAACATAACTGTAGATGGCCCACGGGTGTGGGGCCATTTTACTGTCTGACTTTTATATGTCTGAACATTTCCATAATTAAAAAGTTAACCACCACAACAAAACACTAATCCTGGAGACTTGATGGCTGCAGGCCAAGCATCTGTGCCTTGGGACTGACTGGTCTTCACACAGCCTTTAAAGCAGCGGTCCTCAACCTTTTTGGCACCAGGTACCAGAGCTCCCATGAGAATCTAATGCCTGATGATCTGAGGTGGAGCTGAAGCAGTGATGGCTAGCGCTGGGGAGCAGCTGCAAATACAGATGAAGCTTTGCTGATTTACCCGCATCTGCTCACCTCCTGCTGTGCAGCCGGGTTCCTAACAGGGCACTGACAGGTGAGGGTGGTGGTGGGGGGGCACCCCTGCCTTAAAGAAATCCTCATTCTCCTTTTTCTCCTGGGTGCTTTCTCAGCCAGAGACTGGGATTCCTTCTTTGTAAATCGGCCTCAGAGAGAAGCTCCACCCAAAAATCGCTGGGAGCATTCACTGCAAGAAAGGATGGGAGGAACTTGGCATGCTCAGGATACTGTCGTTTAGAGTCACAGCTAGGATGATCCCAGCTTGGGACTGACATTTGACCCCACCGCAAAGACTCAGAGCTAAGGTCCTGAGGGCGGAGTCTCCGCCGCCCAGCCTTCCGGCGCTCTCCGCCCGCCTACACCCCCAAGTCTCAGGTCCCCGCCCCACAGGCCGAGAATGGCGCCGGGAGGGCTCGGCTGCGGGACGACTTGGTCTTTGACGTTTCCTCTGTGAACCCTCCCCCGGGCTGAGCGCGGCCTCCGCCTCTTGGGCCGTCCCTCTGAACGCCACCGCCAGGCAAGGATTCCGGTAAGCGAGGCCTTGCGCTAGACGGGGGGGCGGGGTGCCCTAGGCCGGAGGTTCGTGGAGAATGGTGTCCAAAGGGATCCCAAGGCGGGCGTTGCGCGGAAGATTGAGTAAATGTCGGGGGTGGGGCAGGCCGCAGGGTATCCCGGATGGCGGCATACCCGGGAAGCATGCGGAGCGTGGAAGATGTGGTAAACCAGGGAAGCGGGGGTCGGATGGATGGGAAGCGCGGGCGAGGGTAGCGCCCGATAGGGTCCTAGAGCCAGGACATACGCGAAGGATGAGGTAAAACGGGGATGGGGGAGAGGAAAGGAAGGGCGGCGGCGGTGGCTGCAGCCTGGGAAGGAGCCAGATAGGGGCCTGGGGCGGGGGCTG